CACCTCTGTGATTTCAATGCCTCCTCCTCTTTGGCAAACCTGCTCTTCATCACAGTCTGCTAGACTCACACACACATTGTGTGAGAGGCTAATATGTCCACGTGGCAGTGGGGAAGAGGGGAATGAGCTGAGTTCCACGCCTGGTTGTACAACAAGAACCACCCACAGTGGACAGCAAATAAATTCATAAACAAGGAAACAAGCGTTTAGAGCCTCTTGGGGATTAGCAGAAACCCTGGTGCAGGTTTAGACTCCTCAGGATGTGGGGTTAGACCTTGGGCCAAACTTACCCCACTCTCAAGAGGGCAGTGAGAACCCAGGGGACGTGGGAGCCACCCATGGGTTACATTTCACAGAAGGGTGGGACAGCCAGTCTGGCTGACCTTTCTTCCCCTTATCCCTGAACCCCTCAGGCCCTGAGAATGGGTGTGTGGGGGTTGGGGCCAGGTAAGTCCCAGAGCCGGGGAAGGACAGTTATCGGGAGTGTCCTTTTCAGAAGGCAGGCAGAAATGACACAGCACCCAGTGTGTCCCTTTTGTTCGTTCTGGGTGTCCTGGTATGCTCAGGGAATGCTCATCCGGCCACTTGTCTGGCAGTAGGTCTGAGAGGGTAGGACCACAGGACTTGACCTGTGAGGCGCAAGAGTGATGACAAGTTAGAGCTTATGCAGAGATCTTCAAGTCCAAGGGAGTTAAAAAAAAATGTTAGCAGAATTCTTCAAACAATACAGTAAAGACAAGCTGAATATGTAAAACAGGTAAGAGTGCAGAGGCTCTGGGTAAAGTGGGTGAGGGCCTTGGAGCCCATGCCCTGCTCCCTACCCTCTTCAGTAGGGGCCAGCCACCTCTAGAATCACCCATGGAACAGTTTAAGAACCATAGTGTGACCCGCTCCCACTTTGTACGGGAGACGCTGCCGTCAGTGAGAGGAGACTGCCACGCCCGGCCTGCATCCTGCAGCTGGTCACCGGCAGAGCTGGGGCTGGAAGTCAGAGCTCCCGCCTCTGAGCCCAGGTTCACGCTCCACCACAGCCACAGCTGCTCTCAAAAGGAGGGCTTTATTATTCCCGAGTCCTGCAGGGAAGGAAGCTGCGACACCTGCAAGGGCCCTGCTTGAGGTCCGGCCCCTGCGAGGGGAGACTCATCCTCAAACAGGACAGCAACAGCCGCTAGGGACAGCTCTGGGGGTGGGGGGGAGTCTGGCTTGTTTGCACAATCAATTCACTTAACTTCAGCCAGTTGGTCCAGGCGAATCATCCCATGACCCGAGGGAAGCCTGAAGTCCTGAGTGTTATTTCATTGTATGGCTGTGATCCAGAGACTGTGCCCCTGTCCTTCACCTCAGGACTCAGTGTAAGCTCGATGCCACCACCTCAGGGGCGGGGGGGGGTGATGGACAGAGGGATCTGGGGAGATACCTCAGCTGCCACCTAGCCACTGCCCATCCCCAAATGCTGTCACTCTAGAAGTTGGGGAACACTAATTGATTACAAAAAGAGGGGCCTGAGGGCACCCTCCGGCAGTGATAAAACAAGCAGCAAGGCTACAGCTGTGTTTGGGGGTCACCTCACACAGCCAGCTGTGGGTGTGCCATGTGAGCCAGAAAGTGAGACCAAATCCCAGTGTCACCAGAGTGAGGTGTGTGGAGGTGACATGCTAGGCTCTTCCCCTCAGCCCTCTGGGACAGCTGGGTATTGCAGTGTCACCTCTAGGAAGCAGTGCTCAGAGCCAAAGATGAAAACCCTAGACCCAAACGCCTCTGGGAAGACAGTCTCCCCAGATCTTTTTGGTATGGTGACCACCAACTGGCCAGATCGCCTTTCCACTTGTGCAGGTTGTGGCCTGAGATTTGGGAAATGTGCCCACTGTCTCCATGGTCCCTTGGCACTTAGTGGACACTGTGAATCTTAGCTCCCTGAGGCAGGGACCCACCCACGTTCCACGAGAGTGACCTGCGGCTGAGCTGGGCTCAGGCCGCACTGGCCACCTTACACCAGGCGGGGGAAGGAGGGACAAGAAGGAGTGTTGATGCCCCTGGCTGGGCCCTCCTCCTCGGCGGCTCCCGCCTGGGAGTTGTTCAGAAGGGATTTGGAACGGGGACTAGAAGGCTGGAGACAGTATTAAACCCTGGGAAAGAGTTAGTCTGGCCAAACCAGCCCCACCATGCGGCTGACACGGCGAGGCTGAGGCACTCTGCTCCTCCCTCCTTGTCTCTGAGCTGCCCAGGTCTTCGCCAACAGCACTCGCGTCTCTACTGCTCATAGACTCAGGGGAAGATGGAGTCATCAACCTTACCCTCTAGACACCTCTCCCAGATTCTCTCATCTCTGCCAAGTGATGTTTTTGATTTCTTTCCCCTTTTGTTGCCCCTGGCAAAAAAGCTGACCCTTTAGCTCAAGGTCATCGTCCCACCCCAGGAAGGGCCAGGCTGCTTGGGCAGCAGGGTTGGAGGCACCTGCCCTGAGACTTACCCTGAGCCAAAGAGGTTTTACAAAACCCAGCTGGCCACAGCCGGTTCCATCCTGCCCATTTGTTATTTATGCAGCGCAGGAGCCTCTCCAGGCCCCCTCCCCTTAGCTGCCCCAGCCAGGGCATCGATTGCACTAATGGCAAGGCTCCACAGCGGCAGGCCTGAGCTGCCCCCTCCCCAAGCCTTCCTGTGGCCACCAATTAGCTGAGGTCCAGAGACTCCATTTCACAAATGGGGAACTGGGGCCCAGGGGGCCCTGCTGGGAAGTGAGAGGGGGCTAAGCTTAGCATCATGCCCCCCCACCCCCAGACCCTCTCTGGCTGGCTCTTTCACTGACCCAAGGCTAAATCGTGTGTGTCTGTGTGTGTGTGTGTTGTGTGTACTCCCCGAACTGTGAACATGGACAGCAGTCCAGAGTGGGCAGGTGGGATGTCAGCACTTTCCTAAGCCCAGGGAGGGGCAGTCTTTGCACAGGGGCAGCTCCAGAATTCTTATAAGGCAGGGAACAGAGGTGACCACCTCCTTGGAAGGAAGGGGGCTGGAGGACTTGACTTGAAGCTGTATTTGCAGAGCATGTACACTGTTCTTAGACTGGATGTTTTTTGAGTGGCTGTGGAGGCTGAGGGAGATTCTTGGGGTGGGGGGTGCTAGCTCTCCAAGCTCCCCTCCCAACCACTGTGCTGTTAACTGGGAGCCTTTGCCCCTGACACCTCCCAGCCTTGGAATCAACTGTGGGTGCAGCGGCCAGGTCCCCACAACTGTGGGTGAGGTTAGGGGACATACCCTGGCGGTCACGGGCCCCAGCATTTACTAGGGATGCAGTCAGGTGAAAATGCCTTGCAGGAGAATTCTTGGAGGACAAGGCCCAGAGGCAACGCCAAGGACAGCAGCCAAACCCAACGGGGAAGGAGCGTTGGCTGCCTGGAGCAGCTGAGGCAGGAGCGGTAGGGGGAAGAAGGACACCCTGCTAATGGTACTTGAACTTACAAGCAGACTTCCCACCCCCACTCGAGTGCCCTGGTAGACAAGGCTGCTCCTGGCGCTGCAGCTCAGGCAGCACCGCCCACGAAGCCCCTTGCAAGATGCTCTCCATGCTGCCTCAGGCCTCCATTGAGAAGTCCAAAGACAGAGGAACTCAAGGGGCCTATGTCCCATTAAATCCCAGAGAGAAAGCAGGCAGAACTAACAAAAATATGTGTTATGTCAACAGCTATGTAAAATGTGAAACACCCTCCACAGCCCCATTTGTTCTGCGGCCTTGTAAAAATATTAAATTATTCATCAAAGTAGAGCATCGGAACCAACCACTACCACATCCCTGTGATCTGTGGTCCTGGGAACATTGGAGGCCCGCCTGCTCAGGCCCGACTCATGACAAGGGATGGGCGGGGGTATCTAGACACACTCCTAGTTTCCTGGCAGGGTCACACCTCCAGGGAGAGGCCAGATGGGGGTCTGAGTTCTATAGGCCATTCCAGCAGCAAATCTCAGAACTGAGATTGGCTCAAAGGTGAACACTGTCCAGAAGATGGTCCACAACACCTGAAACCAGCAGTGGGGACTTTCTTCAAGTTCAGGGTTGTGACCTCCCCCTTCCTCCAATACCTTCAGGGCCCATTTATAAGCGGGAAGTGGCTACTGATGTCTGGGGAGTTGCCTTTGAGTTGGGCACCAAAAAGAGGGGCTCCCGGGTGTTATGACCCTTCCCACTACCCCTTCCAATGGATCAATCCTCCAGTCAAGCCCATCCATCCCCTCCCCCACTTCCCTCAGGCTCTGCCCCGTCTCCACCCAGCTTAGTTCCTCCATTCCTTTCTGGCTTCTCTGCCTGAGGCACTGGAGTCTCTTTTCCCTTGGCACAGATTTTTCAAAAATTATTTCAAGGGACAGTTGGAGGAATTGCCAACATCACTCTGCCAAGGTTGGGCACAGAACCTTCCTGGCCCTTCCTCCCTCCCCTGGCCTGAGCCTTTCAGGAGGGCCAGCAGCCCAGCTCCCTCAGTGTGTACCGTTTGGGGGTAAACGAAGCAGGGGGGATGGGGGGCAGGTAGGACACCCTTGCCCCACCTCTAAACCTGCTCCTCGCGGCCTGGGGGAGGGGGGCTTGTGTAGATGATGGAATTGGCAATAGGGGTCCCAGAAGGACGTCTTTGGCTGGAGATGCGGCTTCTCCTTCTGCGGCAGTGTCTGGCCCAACCTGACCCAGCTGGACTCCCACCACGGCCACGATCTCTTCAGCCCGCACCCAACCTCCCCCCTCGGACTTAGATCCAGTCCCCAGAGCATTCACCACTACCTCCAAGGCCGGTGGTCCCACCCCAGCTCAACCAGCCCTCGGGCAGAGATGCCCCCAGCCCACGCTAGGATCCACATCTTGTGGGGTGGGGAGTGGTCAGCGCAGAGTGAAATGGAGCGAGGTCAAGGTCATAAAGGAAGGCAGAGGCAGGACAGTGACTGAAGGGGTGGTGGGGGGTCCTTAGGCCATGGGCTCCCTCCCTGGGGTCCTCACCGGGCGCGGGAGGCGCACTCACCGCCGGGACCACTTGGCCGACGGCCTCCCGAAGGGCCGCTTCCACAGCACGCCGTAGAGCTGCACTTTGGTGCTGATGTCCAGCGCGTCCGAGTCAGCCTGCTCCAGGGACGGCGAGGGCGACACCGAGTTGGACTTGGACGTGAACATGCTGCCTCAGCGGAGCTGCCCCCGGCCCTGCCCACCCACCCCCGGGGCCGGCACGGACGCGGGGCTCCGGGGGAGGCTACGGGGAGGCGGCGTCGGCGGGCGGCTCCGGGCGCCGTCGGGGCGCGCAGCCAGCGGAGACGCGGAGAGGCCGGGCCGGGAGCGCGGCACCGAGGGGGCGCGGGGCGCGCAGCCTGCGGCTCGGGCTCGGGATGGAGGCGGGCCCGGCGGGAACTCGGCAGGGAGGGCGGCTCAGCCTCCAGCCGGCAGCATCTTCCCCCTCCCCGCGACAGCCCCAATTCTGGTGGCCCCGATTGGCTGGGAGGGGCAGGTGAGCCAGCTGGAGGCCGGCCGCGAGCGCCAATCAGTGCGGGCGCCGGCTGGAGGGCCGGGCTCCGTGCATCCGGAAGGTCCCGGCGGGTCGCCCTGCCCCGGGATGCGGCCACAGCACTTCCCCACCCCCACGCCTCGCGTCCGCCTCTCCCCTCGGGGCCCTGTCGCGTGCAGCGCCTACATCGAAACTGAGAACACGTCTGCTTTGTGACGGGCTTGGAGTCACTCCTGCAGATCCCCAATCGCCTCTGGGTGGGGGAGAGCAAGGAGCAAAGGTTTGGTGTCAGACCACGGGGCTTGGAGTCCCACCTCAGTCCTTACACAGCTCCGTGAAGCTGCGGTGAGCCTTGGTGCTCTCACCTGTAAAGCGGAGATGCCTGTACCTCCTCAGGCAGGGCGGTGGCCAGGTGAGACTTCGGTAAGTGCCCGAAGCGCGCGCCCCGAGAGGAGGCTCCACCAGGGCCGGCGGCCGCTCCCTGCCCCTCCCCGTCCCCTCAGGTGGGTTTCACTGTGCACCGCCGCCGCCTCGCGCGGATCAGATTTCTTTTCCCAGAACTTGGCCGTCTGCGTCGGCATTTGGCACTCGATGCCAATCCCGAACTGTCAGTGCAGTTTGCGGCCGTGATTTATCTGCACGCCTGGCCCGTGCTCCTGGGGCCGGGCGCTCTATCCACTTCCGCTCCTCTCGAAGGCTCTAGGTGACCCGCTCACTTTCAGGCTGGGGCAGACGTCTGCCCCTGGGGACCGCCCGCCGAAAGGCTGTTAGCACCGCTGCCTGGCGGCACCGCTCCAACGGCGAGGAAGTGAGTTTGCGCAGTAAGAGGTAGCCCGCTAGCCCAGCTGCAGTCGCCCTTTCCCAGGCTGAGGAGCCGCTGGGCATCTCTAGGCAGTCAGGATTCACCTGCGCCCTTGCGAAAACCACTTTAACCCCTTAGGGTCTCTGATTCCTCACATTTAAGATGAAGTCGGATTGGAACAGAAGTTTGCAAATGGGTAGCCTGAGAGCCAAATCAGTTTATATACCTTATTAACTTGCCCAAGTAAAGAAATGAGGTATAGGGCCGGCCCTGTGGCTTAGCGGTTGAGTGCCCGCGCTCCGCTGCTGGTGGCCCGGGTTCGGATCCCGGGCGCGCACCGGCGCACCGCTTCTCCGGCCGTGCTGAGGCCGTGTCCCACATGCAGCAACTAGAAGGATGTGCAGCTATGACATACAACTATCTACTGGGGCTTTGGGGGAAAAAATAAACAAATAAATTAAATTTTTAAAAAATTAAAAAAAAAGAAATGAGGTATAGTTAATATAGGATACAATGCACAGATCTTAAGTGCATATTAATTTGATGTTTATTTGATGAATGTATACACAAGCAAGATGCAGAACATTTCCATCACTCCAGAAAGTTCCCTCATGCTCCTGTCTAGTCAACTCTCCATCCCCCCCTCCCCCCCGGGGCAAGCACTTTCTAACTCTTCTCAGCATTTGCACACCTTTTTAAAATTTTAAATTTTAATGCTGAAATGGCATTCTCCACAGAGCCACCTCACTCATTTATTACCCACCTGGCTCCTCCTTGTAGGCATTTGAGTTTGTGATACTCGCTAGAGGCTCCCCCAGGCCTTCCCAGGTCTAACATTTTATGAGTCTAGATAAGAAGGGCCCTGGCAGAGCCAGCTTGGTAGTGTAATGATTAAGATGGGGCGCTCCAGACCCCAGGCTTCAGATCCCAGGCGTGGACTTAGGCACCACTCATCAAGCTATGCTGTGGCTGCATCCGTATACAAAATGGAGGAAGATGGGCACAGATGTTAGCTCAGAGGTAATCAGAATGTTTGCTCAAAGCCAGTCTTCCTCATAAAAAGAAGGGGCCTGGCACCCTTCCCCTACCCAACTCTGGGGTTGCCAAGTCCAGGCAGCATCCCCTTGGTGCTCACTGCCCAAGGGGCCCCATCTGAATTCCCTTGTGCCCCTCATGGCTCATGTGCCCCTGCAGAACATCTCAGGCCCAGCCTTAACACAGGGCCCAGGGTCCACCACGTGGGAGGAGACAGGACTAAGAAGATGATAAGACCTCATGGATAGAGTGCAAAATGGACATTTCACTCATTGTTTGGCTGTTTTTCCCAATGCTTGGAAAATTTCCCACTTTAGGAGTGCTGCTTTCCCCAGATGAAAGCTAGAAAACTTGTGTTAGAAGCCTGAGGTGTGGAGGTCACTGGTCAGGGGCACCGGGACAGGACTTTGAGTTGCAGGTGACAACACATGAGGAAAAAGCATGTACAGGCATCAGTTTCTCAAGGGAAGGTGGTACCAAAGGCATCTGACTTGTTTTGGGGGTCAGCTGGGGCTGCAAGGTTTCGTTCCCAGTGCAGCAAGCAGCTCTTGCACGGCTGCAGTGGCAGTCACAGGTGAGTGGCTCCTGGCAGCACACAAATGGCAGCATCAAGTGCTCTGTGGCAGCAGCTTCCTCATCAGGCTGCTTCTGCAGCCTGGTTTTGGGTAGCATTCCTGGAAGCTTCACCTCAGGTCAAGCCTGGCTCTTTAGCCCTGCCAATATCCTTCTAATAAATTAATTCCTCTTCTGCTTAATCAGGTCAGCACCAGCTTTGGCTGCTTGTGATGAGGAACTAGTGATGAGCTCGTGAGCCATAGGTGGAGAAAGGCAGTATACCTGCAATCGTTTTTAAGAAAGGCCTTCCCAAGGAGAAGGGCTGAGTGAGCTCAGATGGTTCCTGGGAAAGATTCAGTGTCTTCAATGGAAGAAATAGAGGACGCACTTCTTCGGTGGCAAAGGGAAACCAATCTTTGCCCATTCCCTCTGCATATAGGACATCTGAACAGACCATAGATAATGGCGGCTAAGGCGGGGTGGAAAGACTGCCCTGAGGCAACCAGCATGAGTTTAGTGGCTCTCTGGATACCTAGGTGGCTTCTGCTTCCCTCAACTAACCAGTCCAGATCATGCCAAGTCAGCCTTGGAGAAGCCATTTCTGCTTCCATTGTGTTCTCTGCCCCAGCTGGTGGGAGTGCTGAATACCTGGCGGACAGTTCTACAGAGACAAAACAAGCTGGCTGCCAATGCAGTGCCCTAGACCAAGTGTGGGCCGGGGCTGCCAGGTCTTATCAGGAACTAAGTGAGACCAGTCAGCGTGGAAACTCAAGGTCTTGAGTGCCCTCCATGCTCAGACACAGCTGATGTTCTAAATATATAATTTACATCTTATCTATTGCATTTAATGGTTGAAACAGCTCCAATGAGGTACGTATTATTTTTAGTTTTCCAGATGAGAAAAATGAAGTTCAAAAAAGTTGTCTACCTAAGATCACTCAGCTGGTCATTTCCTGGAACATGGTAGGCCCTCAAATATGCATTGAATGAGGGAAAGTGCAGGATCAAGATACATCATTCATTTGATCTGAATGCTGCGACCATACCTGTCACACAGCAGCACACTGCCATGTGACATGCAGTCTGGGAAAATGCAGACCTCTCTTTCAGCCTTTCCCTTTTTTTCTAGTAATTTCTCTCAATTGCCAACTCACCTAAGGCTCAAAGTTCCTGCAGAACTGAAGATGCAATTCTACTCGCACTATAAAATTCCAGCCTCTCAGCTGTGTGCAGGCATAGACTCCTAATAATGAGCACAGTTTTTTTCTTATAGTTTTAATTTTTTCTCCAGCTTTATTAAGGTATGATTGACAAATAAAAATTGTATATATGTATTTAGGTTATACAACATGATTTTTTAAAGGTGTACAATGTGATGATTTAACATATGTACACACTGGGAAATGCTTATTATGACCAAGTTAGTTACCAAATCCATCACCTCACACTGTTACTGTTTTTTCGTGTGTGTGGTGAGAACACTTAAGATCTACTCTCTTACAAATTTCAAGTATATAACACAGTATTATCAACTGTACATTAGATCCCCAGCACTTATTCATCTTATAACTGAAAGTTTGTACCTTTGACAAACAGCTCCCCATTTCCCCCACCTCCCTGCCCCTGGTAACCACCATTCTACTCTCTGGTTCTTAGGAATTTGACTTTTTAGATTCCACATTTATAAGTGAGATCATCCAGTATTTGTCTTTCAGTGTCTGGTTTATTTCACTTAGCATAATGTCTTCCAGGTTCATCCATGTTGTTGCAAATGGCAGGATTTCCTTCTTTTTTAGTGGTTAAATAATATTCCATGTTATATATATATCACATTTTCTTTATCCATTCATCCATGAATGGACACTAGTTTGTTTCCCTATCTTGGCTATTGTAAATAATGCTGCAATGAACATGGGAGTTCAGATACCTCTTCAAGATAGTGATTTCATTTCCTTTGGATATATATCCAGGAGTGGGATTGCTGGATCATACGGTAGTTCTACTTTTAATTTTTTGAGGAACCTCCATACTGTTTTCCATAGTGGCTGCACCAATTTACATTCCCACCAACAGTGCAGCAGGGCTCCCTTTTCTCCACATCCTCGCCAGCACTTATCTCTTGTCTTTTTAATAATAGCCATCGTAACAGGTGTGAGGTGATATCTCATTGTGGTTTTGATTTGCATTTCCCTGACTAGTGATGTTGAGCACATTTTCATGTACCTGTTGGCCATTTGTATGTCTTCTTTGGAAATATGTCTCTTCAGGTCATTTGCCCATTTTCTAATTAAGTTATTTGTTTTTTTGCTATTGAGTTGTACAAGTTCCTTATATATTTTGGATATTAA